GTAAGATATTTACATCTATCAAGGATATTCGGTAGACTGATCCCCCACTGTCAGTTCAAAGCCAAAACTTGTTTGTATTCAAATTTAATTATGACAATGCATATTTATATTGAAACAAACTATGATAAAGGGAATAATATTATATAGCAAAGGGCAAGGTCACCAGAGTTCAACTATGTTTTGTTTACACATTTATTCACAAGGCTGCAAATAAAAACAACTGTTTAGCTTTGAATACATTACAATCGAAGCCCTGGAAAATTTGTGTTGTCATAGAAACTAACTGCATTATTTCCAATATTTCAGATCAAGAAATTTAGTGAACACCAGTGACAGTCAGCACTATAAAGACATTGAACAGATTCTACAGAAAGATAAACGTTATTTAGTTCTTGATAGTGTGCCCGAAGAACGCAAGAAATTATTATTGTCATATATTGATGATCTCAGTATGAAAGGACCCCCTCCTCCTCCGACAGCATCGGAGCCGTCTAGACGAAGTTCCAAACCATAGGAGCGATTACAAGACGACTACCTCTGCATACTCAACATGGAAGCATTGTTAGAGAGTTTGACAATCATGTGCATAATCCAATGAACATTGCAGCTAATTGGTTGTGTGTTTTGATTATCCAAATTAGGTACAATTGCAGTGAAATTTATTCCTGTGCAAAATACACTACAATTTGATTATAAAACAATAGACAAACTTTCAACTGGATACTTTGCCATTAGATGCTCTTCTGTGTTGTTTTCCTGTCAGATGGTGGGTTCTTAATTCTCAATATTGTTTGCTGCTGTTTTCCAGCCCCATTCCGTTAGATATGTGTGGATACCAAGATGATGCCAATGGCTTTGTTGTGAATGAATGAATAACAAAAAACTTTCTGATGTTATACTGAAATTTCAGCAATCCCCATAACCATGATTTCCCATGTGACTAAACACAGCATGCATTATTCATAGTAAGACAACTTTTTATCATCACACTCAGGACCCTTGTAACTAGAGATGTTGCATCATGTTAAATTCAAAAGTTGTGTATTTTCTCATTCAAAATTCAAATTCCATGTTTTTTTAAAAACTGTACATGTATGTTCTTGTTGTGGGTTGTACAATTAAATTGTCCGTAGAGTCTGGCACTAAGATTTATTTTAACATGGCTCAGGCATATATTTTCAACAGTATTGTATCTACCATACTCAAATACAGGTATGTGATAAAATAGACATGCTAATGCCTTTAATAAGGATCATGACACAACAAACTATTGTCTAATATCACTTCTCTTGTCTCTGCTGAAAGCCCTTATTACTAGTCGTGATAGTTTTTTTTTTTTGTATAAAAAATTATTAAACTTTTAAGCATTGTACATGTAAATGATAGGAACAATATTAAATATAAATGTGCTTTTTTTTCCCAGTCTTTAACGATTTCTTCAATCATGTTCACCCAATTTTGGATTTTTTTGTTTGTTTTATTTTAAAATTTCAATGTAAACAGGAAAGACGAGTTTGTTACTTTACTTGATTTGACCATTATTTCTGCAGGGGTGGCAGGATTAGAGTTTACAGGGCCAGATTATTTTTCTATTCAACAGATGATGTACCACTTTTTTTTCACAGAGGCTTTATGCACATTTCATGTGCTGTCGTTTCTTCCCATACATCTCTTTACAATCCCGCCCCTCCCAGAAACATCTACCCCTCTACCTCTCAACAGAGTCAGTCTTGTATTGCTGCATTGTACAAAATTTGAAGAAG